AAATTTTCCAGTGCCTCACAGTTAGTTTCAAAGAGTTTTGAAGAAAAAAAATCAGTGCCAGAAATCTGAACTCCCACTACCTATTAGATCCAAATCCACACCAGCACTATAAAAGAAAGCTGAAGACTATTCAGCTGAGTGAACAGGGAATATAATTTTTTGAAATCTTTAGAATATATGCAGAAATCAATAGCACCATCCTAACTTTGCCACTAACTTGCTATGGTTAGAGCACTTAAACTCTCCATTCTCCCTTATTCCTGCCTATAAAGTGAAGACAATACTGATGACTGCTCCTATTACAGAAATACTGGAAGATTTAATGAGCAAATTTTTTTTCCAACACTGGAAGTATGTAAAGTACTCAGCAAATCCTGAATGTTACCACCAGCACTTGAGCAGTGGTGGATAGCAAGAGTGCCCACACTTATAGCTAAGAAGGAAAAAGCTGTTTCAGAGATGGAACCAAAATTGAAATTGGTACAATTTCTACAAGCCAGTTATGGTATCATGATTGCATGGTCCAGCACTCACTTAAAAACCCAGACACTGTGGAGTCACACAAGCTATTTGTGGCTTTTCACAATCAAGAGAGTGACTCCCTCATCTCCACAAATACATCTGACTGTTGCTCCTACTGGTTCTTCACATACAATTTGCCGTTATGTAATTTAAAATCTCTATGCCAGAGACAATGAATTCATTCAAAGGTCTTATGGAGGAGAGATTTACAGACTTGGTTGATAAATGCTGTACTTCAGCCTAGGCTGGTTTTCCATGGCAGATTAACAGATGAAAGCTACCAAAAATTATTATAAAGTCCAGGATAAGAAACTCAGGTAGTATAAAAGTACCTTCAGTTGGCTCAGGATGACTTACACTTTGAGGATCTGGCCATAAACTAAGAGGAATCTTGCCAACAGAGCTTTTCCTCAGCAATTGTCTATCTTACAGAAGCCAGTAAAATCCCAAGTAATTTCCTCTGTTAAACCCCTCTTCCAGCAGAACTGGAAAAGCGTGCCCAACACCATCAGACCCATCTGTAAAAGTAATTCAACTTCCCAGATCGATGATTAGTATTTCAATTTGTTCACTATGCTTATCAAAGAAGCTTGAGACCCAGCTACAATTCATAAGGAAACGTATTTTTCAAAAGCATCTGAGCTGACATGTTTACCAAAGAACACTATCTGACTCACTGAAATCAAGATCCTCTTCAACAACGAAAACCATTGGAAAAATAGGCTTTGTGTCTTGCCCAGACATCAGTGGGCTTTGCTCAATGATGAAACACAGATTGATCACCAGCAGCCTAAACCCACAGCATGGTAGGTACCAGCAGTTAGTTTTGTCCTTGTAGACATCTTAAACATGTTCATAGCTTTGCTCATTTAATTGATTTCATTAAGATCAAACTATTCACACCAGTAAACATAAACATTTGGTCGAATAAGCTTTTATGATAAGATTTTGCCCTGCACTGGAGTTTGCAAAACAGCTCTGTGCTATCAGCTGCTACATATCTATTAATCATACCATATAACCTTTGCTCACAGTGCTTGCATCTTCACTCTAGCCTGAATTAAAATTGTGCATCATTCATATCCCTATGGCTGAAATCCCTTATGTGTTTGCAGCAATTAAAAAACCCCCATAAGCATTAGTTGAAGAAAGGTGCAGTTGATGTACTGGGGGTCTTTCCCTCTCCACATACTCATTTGATGCTTTTATCTTGAAACACACCATTTGCTCACCCCAACACAAGTCCACTTTTACCTGTCATATGTACTTTTTTTTTTTTTGCATACCCCAGACCTGGCCTCCTCTCCCCAAGTGCTTCCCCACCTGCCTGCCCTGGCCCTCTACCTTCACCCCCAGTACATGTGTGCACACAGACATTACCTTCCTTCCTGATACCTCTGTCATAACACACAGGCCCCCAGTAAGGTGGTAAGTGACGGCAACCGTCATGGGAAGGTGGCCAAGACACAAACAGAAATAGATGGCAGTGCTCCTCCAAAATATGGCCCATGTTTGTGGCTTGGGTTGTGGTCTCTAAGGAGCCTAGCAGAATAAATTTTTTTCTTACTACTCAATTCATTGTAGAATTTAATTTCATTAGGTTTATAGCTTTCATAAAAAAATGTATAGCTAAATGTAGACAAGAAAAATATATAGTACATACAGAAAATATATCCTATAGGAACCTTTCAGCATCATTTCCAGGTACCATATTTTCCTGATTATAAAACCACCCCTTCGCATCCCCATCTGTGCAGTGTGACATGACAAGCCCAACACAGTAACATCAAGGAATTGATCTGCCACCAGCTTATTACAGTCATTTACTTAAAAGCAACTTTGGAATACAAGTATTTTGACCTCAAGTACTTTGAACCATCTCCAGGCAACCTCCTTGTAGGATCAGGTGAATATAGTCCCATTTCCACCATGACATGAGGAATAATGTTATTTGATCTCAGTCTTTTTATCTTTCCTAATGCTTTTGTCTCTTTTGCCTACTCCTCCTGTTACCTGGTGTACAATATGTTCCTTAAGAGATCCAGGGTGCATTGTCTCAGGGAAATGGCAATTAATTATTAAACCTGTCTCAACACCTGGAAGACTGTTAGAGAGACAATCTGTAAGCTAAGCACTGATGTTTATCTCTGTAACACAGCACTACTGCATGAAACATGGCAGCCAAACTGCTGCACAAGCCTTTTTATTTTTAGGAATTTCCTTACAGTGGAAAAGTGTTTTTTGTTTTTTGTTTTTTTGTTTTGTTTTTTTTTTTTTTCCAGAAAAAACAGAATTGCTCTGTGGTTAAATCCTCCCTTCTGTCCTCTTCTGGGCAGGCATACATCACCATGCAAAACCTCACGCTGATTTTAGTACTCTACTTATCACTTTTGCTATGTAAACAGTCAGGAGCTGGAAACCTCGATCCAGGTTTAGATCCATCACCTGCCATTTGCATGCCAGTTGATTTCTTGCAAGGTTACACATGCCTACAGGTCATCTAGTTACTTTTAAGATTGTCCGTGGAAGGGGAATGTGATGGGCAAGGGCTGAGGATCTGCTGCTAGCAAAAAAACCCCAAATGGTGAGGTAAGATTTTTGTGCCCTGAAGCTGTCAGATAAACCTTTGGTGACTACATCTCCTGAGATTCACAAACTAGGAGAGCAGGCAGACTGAGAAGATGGCTAAAACCCAACTGCACTATGTCAGTTTGGTGGACTCCAGTGAAAAAGCACCAGTTGCCTTTCCTTCCTAGCAGGAACAAAGCAGGAACAATGAAGAAAGCCCAAATGTCCTTTTGAGCTTTATTGTGCCACTGAAATGAAACAGGTGCAAAATTAGTTCATAAAGACTGAACAAGATTTTAGAAGGCTGTGCCAGAGAAATCTGTGGAGAAGTGCCAAAGCCAGCAGGATTACGGAAAGGTGCTGCCCTGAAAATAGCTTCGTGGATGGGAAACATTCATTAGTACATTCTGCCTTTATTGCTATTACTATTATTGTTTCATGGTCTGTAGTAACACACTAAAAATCCCTCTAAGGGATCTAAAGCTATTGTCCCAATCACTGTGCAAATAACATTAAAAAGGCAAGTAATCCAGCAAGCACTAACACAAGAGTCCAGGTTTCTTACATCTTGTGGTCACTTGTAGGTACAAACTGAGGCACTTTTAAAATACTTATTAATGCATTCCCCCCCTTATGAATTTTGGTATCTAATAAGATGTGAATTCATCTGTTACCTTTCTTCCTGACACATGACTTCAGGGTTCCTCTCTGCTCCAGCTAGCTGCCTACTTGCACAGAACTTGCAGGAATTCAATTAGCTTTGAGCCCACTCTCCATCAGCCAAATTAAATCAACTGGTTTATTCAACAGTTACCTGAGGACGTACAGAGCATGATCACCCAAGTCTCATTTCCTGAGGAAACCAGACTTGCAATTCCTACTTCTAAGAGCTAATTACTTGCAATGGATGCATGAAATAAATGCAAAGATAGGAAGAGAAGAAAATGGCAGAAAGGCTGAAGATAGGTAATAAGAAACCAATCATGCTGCTGTGCAAGAAAATGAACATTAGTCACAGTCCAATGCTGACAACTGGCCCCAGCTTCGCAACCTGTCAAGGCATCTAAAGAAAGCATAGGCAGTCAGGTGGGAGATGTCAAGGTGGAGTTTTGTCTCATATCTTCTCAAATGTGTAAGGCAGAGGGAAGGAAAACTCCACTTGAGGGAAAGTTAACTAGTAGGAAGTGGATGAACAAAAGTGGTTATGTGAAATAAGCAGGGATGAGCTGTTTATGCCCAGATTCAGCTGTGCTTATCCAAGGAGACTGACCTGTCTCCAGTCTTGCCCCTGTGGCTCTGAGTTCATCCCTATGCCACCCCAGGAGCTCATCTTCCAGCTGAGCAGCTCATGAAAATACTCCTCCTGCTTCAGCCAAAGTGGAGCAAGGGGAAGCTTACCTTATAAATGCAGCTTGTTCTGACAGGAGCAGGTTGAGAGGTGCTCCTGCAGGCAGGTCAAGAGGGGCAGTAAGCCTTTTCAATGCCATAGCTGTTTGCAAAGGGGTGTCTGTCCATGTCCTCCACAGGGCAACTGATCTCGTGGGGGGACTCTGTTTTCAAGACCTTCTTTATGAAAGGGCAACACTTGGGTTTTCAGTGTGGGGAAGGGAGGGGAGTCAGCTGTGTGTTGAGACACAACGTGTTTCTGTCATTGTCTGTTTGATGGGAGACTTCTAGGCTCTCACTTCCCTCATGGGCAGGTACTGGAAGTTTGGATGAAAAGAAAACCTGATTTTTTTTTAAAAAAAATGTGCTTACTCGGTTGCACGTTTGGGCTGATGTGGCTCTAGTGAGAGGCAGCAGACTACAGGTGCTAGTGACTGAGTGGTGGGATATGTAGGCTGTGGTAACAAAGAAAGGCAGAGACAGTACAAGGGAGTACCAGGTTCTGTGGAGGTAGGGCTACTCACCAATTCCATTGTTTCATATATCCATAAGGCAATGTCAGATTTTACATTTGGTCATCTGGAGCCAAGCCTGGAATAGATAAATGTGAGAATTATTAGCTGAAGCTGTGACAAATCAGACATATGCTCAGCCTCTAAAAAAACTTCTGCTCTTCTTCCTCTACCTGCATTGAGAGCAGGAGATGACAGACTTAGCAGCTCTCTCCATTTTCCAGCTCTCTGCTGGCAGAGGTACCTTGTTCCAGGAGGTTTTTTTCCACTGGCTAAGCCTGATGCTTTAAGGCCCATGAAGGCTTTAAAGCTACTTACAGATCGCAAAGTGACCTTTTTTAGGCTTCCGACTATGAGGCTGACTCGTGCAAACTGAGAGACCCTGAACACAGAGAGCAAATTCTCTTTCGTATTTCTCAACTGTCACGTAATCATTAGTTATAAATAATAAATGTCACATGGCTTGCAAAATATATATCCAACCTATTTAAGAATACTCAGTGCTCATGATGAGCTTTTTATCTTAAACTGTTTTTGGTCTCAACAGGTGTTTTCAGTCTTTTACTGCAGGACTACCTATGGGAGGGAAGGAGAAAAGTAAATACCATATATTATACTCCTAAACGTGAAGACAAGTGATGGGGGTAAGCCATTCTTGGACAAGAACCCAGGAGGAATGAGGGTGGACTCGTGCATGCAGCAGCCATCGTGGTTGCAGTGATTTGCAGAAAGCTATGCTTGCTGGCTGCCAGACATTAGGCAAGCTCCATCCTTACCATCTGGCCCACAGCTCCACTCCCAGCCCCTGGGAAAGGCCAGGAGGCAGAGTGTGTCCCCATCCTTCCCAGCTGAGCCCCACCACTGACTGCTGTGCAAGTCTGCAGGGTAGGCAGGGGATGCATAGCTTGGCTCCATGTGAACACAACGTGATCTGTCTCTGCTCACCAGTTCACTAAACTCACATTTCCTAGGCCTCTGCTAGTGCAGTTCAGGCTGAAAAATCATCTTCATAATGGCTGAGTTTGTTTGCTTTCTTTGAGGATGTTTATTTAATATCTCTTCACTAATGAGTTGGGCTTTTTCTATAATCCACAAGACATCAATATTGCATGTGCTCAGAGACCTGAAGCACATATACTAAGCACTGTGTATTTCAAACAGCAAGTGTTTTGTTAACAACAGCTACTAAACAAGCTAGGGAGCAGCCTGAACTTCTGGAGTCAAAGCGAGATCAAAGCGTGCAAAGGTTAATTGGCAAAATGCCACAGGAGCCATTCTGCAATGGGATTTTATCATTTACAAGCGTACCAGTAAAAGACTGCTTTAATCACTAGATTACCCTAAGTACTTGCAAATTTTCATAAAGTAAACCACTATTTTTTTCTACTTTAGTACTAAAAAGACCTCCCTTCTTAAACACACAATTGGATTCCTATAAAAGTCTTTCCCACCCCCCAAGAAAAGCATTAATTTTATAAATACATATACAGATATCTCTGGAGGATAAGGGAGAAGAACTCACCTCTTCCACTCCTCCTCCCTGCCCCCACTTTGTGCTTCCCAGAGCTATTTGCCTGGAGCCACTTGCCCCATTTGCCTGTGTTGCCTTCTGGGTTATTTCTTCCCCTTCCTGTGAGAAAACAGGCATTGCCCCATGCTGACCCACAGCTTGAGGGCCCTGAAGGGTGTCCTCCAAACACAAAAATCCCCTGATGCCCTCCCTGGTGCCCCTGCATACTTCACTGGCCCAGCATACTCTTTGGACAATACCTTTACAAAAATAGAGGGTGGTAGTATTGGGGGAGCCCCTCCAACCACATGTCCCCAATGCCAAGGACACATCACCCAGAGGGTCCCCCCACAGCCAGGGGAAGCTGCTGCAGGAGTGAAGGAGAGAGCCTGGCTCAAAGCCTGCTGAAAATGGTATGTTAAATATTCTATTGTGCACTTAAATGGTATTTATAGACACCATCAATCACACAGGTCCTAAATGCATTAAACTGAGATTCATTTAAAGACCAGTGTTCTTCCAGAGTCCTAAAAACAGCTCAGAAAATGAAACCATTATAGCCCTCACCTAAATCTTACAGTTTCAAGTAGGTTTCTGATGCTCACCAGGGCTTGGTTTACACTCAGCCCCAGCCCCCACCACTGGTATCCATCACAGAGGTGAGCACAAGCAAATAAACTCAGATTGACCTTTTGTATTACAGCAAGCGGGCCTCATGTTACCCTTACCTTCATAAAATCAAGATTCAGTTCAGAGCTAGTGTAGAATAAGCTAGAATCAGCCCCCAAACCTGCAGAACTGGTAAAAATCAAAACAGAGCACAGAGATACAGCCCCACCTCCAAGCCAAAGTGAACTGCTGACCTCTTGCACCGCTTTTAAACTCTAACCTCCATGCGGCTCTGACCATAATTGGGCACAGCTGGGCTCCCTCCGCTTGCCTCCAGCCAGGAGGAAGTCTAAAGTACCAAACAGAAAACATATGTGAACTACAGACCTTGATAAATAAGCTGTTAGAAGCATTTTTCATTCCTGATGCAGTGGCATTTTAGGCAGCCTTAGAGTGTTTGCAGGGGTTCAGTTTCTTGGGCAAACACTTGCTTTTAAGTTATCTGAACATAATTTATGCAGCTGGAGCAGATGTCCTATAGCCTAGGACAGAGGGATAGCAGCAGGCAGTACAAGTACACTATTATAATGAATTATTATATATATATATTATATATTATTATAATATATTATATTATATATTATATATTATGATGAATAATTATAATGAAGAATGATAGGCACAGTACCTCAAGCAGGCAGTGGATGCATGTATCATCATCCTGCTTTGAGTCTTAAGCCTAAAATGAGTTATTTAACCTCCAGCCTCAGGTTTTCCTGGCTACTCATGTTTTTATTTGCATTTATCAATTCATCAGTGATGCTTGCAAAAGTAAGGTAGGACTTACAAGCCATTCTCAAAGAGAAGAAGCATTTTACACTCAGAGTTTTACTAGAGCAATGGTACTAGAAGCAGAAATGAGGCATAAGTTAGTGCAACTTGTTGCAGGAACGCTGCGGCTTATTCCCTGCATAACTAACCTCCAAGGGCAGGGGAATGTTGAACACCATGTAGTCCACTGATTTGCTTACACATGCAAAACCTCCACTGCAAATTTAAGTAACATCTATACCTATCATGCAACAGGGTAAACTGTGATGCAGCTTGCTTTTTCTTTATTACTATAATTAGGTTCTATCTTTTTGTCCCTTTCTTTTTTTGGTGTTAACTGTTCTGCAGAAAGTCAAACCACAGGCAGCTTTCTTCTACAAACCAATCCAATTAGTTACGATTGTGGGCAGATTAAAATTTAAGACTCCACAGAGATGCCTGGATGGAAATCCTTTAAATTAGTTCTTATTCAAAAACACACAAACAAGAATGGAGGATAGCAGCACATTTAACTTGGGGACTGGTGGGTGGAGACTACCAGATAATTAAAGGTCTCTCTTTTTATTATCACCCTTAGAAGAGGGAGGGCCAGATAAGCCAGGATATGACCCATTAATGACAAGGACAGGTATGTAGGTCACTATCATATGGAAAGATGCAGAGCAGAACCCGAGCAGCAAACTACACACAGTGCCCCCAATCAAAGAAGAAACAGGGGACACCTTCAAAAAGAGCTCTGGCCACAGATCAGGGAACAGCAAGAGGCCTCCAGTTCAAAGGAAAACACTGTGCCCAGCTTTATTCTCCCTCTGGATGGACAGATGGCCATCTTGGCTACTGTCAGGAGAGAGCAGATGAAAAAATCTTTGAAGAAGAATTCCTAGGATTTTGAGGGCTAAAAATAGGAAGGGCAAACAGGTGCAGGGGATATGCAGACAGCTGCATGTACACTGTGAGTGATTTCTTCTGCTTGGTCCTGCTCTTACTTGTGTGCTTTCATCCAGAAAAAGAGAGTCAAAGAAAGAAGAAGGGAACAAAGATTTTTCTCATAAGGCACAAAACACAAATGAGGCAGACAGCAGGGTGGATGCAAAGGTTTCAGTCATTCATTTCTGGGAACGGGTTAGGAGAGATCTGAATCTAGCTTCAGCAGGGTGAGTCATCAGCTAGTCTGCATCTCCGGCTGAATAGCTTCTATAGCTCTTGGAAATAAAAGTTCCAGCCTATAAATGCCCATAAAGTGGGCACGGTAGACTTAGAAATGATTGTATGAGATCATCCTGGAGGATCAGCTACCTGTCAGGTGTCAGTAAGGGTCAGAAATGCTGACAGTTGTTTCTCCGCTGCTTTCTAGTGATGACTTTTGAGATCCACGTGACTCCAGAAGGCACCATGGTTGTCTCCAGCAAGACAGTTCCCTTGATTATATGGTGTCACAAAGCAATAATATATGACTATTTCCCTGGACCATGAGGTGGGTATTTCAGGACACAGTATTTTAAATAACTGTTTATACAGTAACAGCTCACTGCAATGGAGTCATCAAGTGTTTCTGAGGTTACTTAGTACCACAGAAAAACAGAACAATAAACCACCTGAGCTCCCTAAACTATGGCCTGGGTACCACAGGATGCCACAAACCCCACAGAAGTGATAATGGCTCAGCACAGCACTAGGAGCTGCTTTGGGTGCTAGAAACCCATGTTTTGGCAACCTTTGATCTGAATATCTTAAATATTGGGGGAGGACCCTAATACTGCAAACATCTCAATTGCATCAGATCTTCTGGCATCATCGGAGTGATACTGATGTACCCAGTAGTTCTGCCACTACCAGCTCTGAGCAAAATGGTACCAGTTTATCAGGAATATTTGCCACCAACAGGGCTAACTAAAGGGTAAGACCAGTCATGTGTGAATGGTGAGTTTGAAATGTGTCGTCTTTTCACAATGGAATAAAATATGAATGTTGCAAAACCCTGAAAATTAATTGTTTAGGATTAATCATAATGCAGAAGGATTTTTTTTTAGTCTGTTTGTGGAGTTTTTGTGTTGTTATGAAAACAAAGATTTCACATGGAAAAAGGAAATGTTTTCTTCTAAAAAGTCCCCAAAAGTGAAAGCAGGACACTTCAGCACCATCCCAAATTCGCAGATCATGTTATTTCTTTGGAACTGTGTTTTTCTTTACTGGACTGCAGTGCTGTAATTCGTTATTGTTTTTCTGACAAATTCTAATCAGTATATCAATATCCAACAAGGGTGTGCTGAAAAATTCTATCACATATATCAGAAAAATATTATTTATAATGTATTTGTAATGACAAAAGACTGAGGTTACTAAATATAGTTTATTTCACCTTGGGGGGCCAATATAGGAGAGCAGCAGAAGGCTGGTTAGTGGGCACCAGTTGAGCCTATGCTAGAAGAACTACAGGAAGAGCTATACCATCAAATCCCTTCTAGTAAGTGGTGGCCAATATCAAAATATTCGATCAGGGGCCATTTGAGCAACTTTGTGTTTTAAAATGGCTGGGCAAGCAGCAGGTTGAGAGAGAGCAGGAAAACAAAACCAGAGTTCCAGTATTAGCAAGTCAAATTGTGAACTGACGTCAGGAATACTGTGATGATTAGATCATGAATTTCACAATATTTGGTGCCATTTTCTACAGCCCTTGCTTCTGCAGCTCTTTAATTACATGAAAATCCCTATTCTCATTTAAAAGTAAAAAATTTTTCCAACCTTGAAAGTTTAAAAAACATTAACCAAGCACTCCAGATGAAAAAAGTAAATAAAAAAAGCACATGAAACTAATTATTAAACCCCCCCAGACTCTCAGGGTTCTCCAGCAGACAGCTCATGATGTGTGATGGTCTGAGTTGAGCTGATAGCTGCCAGCTGCTCAACTGAAGAAAATTTGGTTTTCTTGAGGGAGAGGTGACTACGAGGGAGTATCTGTTTTTAAAAGATAAGAAAGTAATATAAGGTGTCTGTGTGGTTGGAAGGAAGAGCTGTAGTTTTCATGTGTTTTTTTGTGTGTGAGAGATGGAGCTAGGAGAAACACTAAAAGTGGATCCTAGCTAAATCTTTAATGATAATCTTTACACTTGCTCCTTACCTCTTTGTCTGTGCTTCTTAAACACCACTACAGAAGTTTTCAAATTCCTGGGAAACGCATCACTAACTGGGATGTATACACGCATATACATATGTGTATGTATATATATGTGTGTGTTTTAAATACCTGGAGGCCTTTAGCCACCTAAGGCCTTGTAAGAAGCAACAGCCACAACATGCAAGTTACAAAGTAAGAATGTAGCTACCACAAATCCATCTCTAATCCTCCTTCAATTACACGGGTGAGCAGGGCTTTAACGCTGAGACAGCTCCACGCTGCCGTGTGCTCCAGCAAGCATAAAGGAAGGAGCAGCACCTGATGGTACAGGACTGTACAGTACGGAGGGTGAAATGGAGGCTATAATTAGGAAACCACTTTATTGTGAAGCAGGCGGTCTAATGAAAGCAGCTGATGGGACCAGACAACTGCATCTATATTGACAATAGCCTGCTAGCATCATTAGTATCTGTCATCCTTTTTCCCCCGTCTCCAGCACATCTCTGAATGCATAAAGTAAGGTAATCTCCCTGCACTATAGACCAAAATCCTTTGTTAAATTGCTCAGCTGAGATCTGTCCAAACTCATGCATTATGATGGCCACTATGCCAGGGGGCAGAATTTCACCTCTGGGCACACCTATGGCAAACAGTCAAGAAAGGATGGCTGCATCCTACTCCTTCACACATGCTCCCTCATGCACAAAGGACATAAACTATATACAGAAAATACAACTAGGCGTTAGTAGATGCAGAGGCATAGACTAGGCTAAACTCAGCAGAAAGTTGGATAACAAGAAATGCAACGCACTTACACAGACCTCTTCTTCACAGAGCTCAAAATGCTCTTACACACTTCAGTGAATTCATCACTCCTGGCTCTTGTGAGGAAGGGGTCAAAGCCCAATTACCTGTTGCCCAGCCAAGAAGACTGGGGTAGAGAAATAGAGCAAGGTGCTTGTTCAAGGCCTGTTACATGAACAGAAAACGAGTCTGCTAATTTTCAGTGCTTAATTCTGAAAAATTTAGCTTACATGCCTCAAAAAGACCTTTGGAGGTCCCTAATCCATCTGTCCCTCATGTCCAGTATCCTATACTTTTTTTCCCCTCTCAGAGTATTTCGCACAGTTTGGCTTGGAGAAGCTAACAACTTCCCTGTGTATGCTGACTGGACTAGCCTCTTTCTTTTCAGCTTAGCTGTTAATGCAACTGGAAATACATACAGGAAGAAGCTTGCCCTTTTGCTGCCCTTGACGCACCTAGTCTGAGCCTACAGGATTTCAGATCTCCAGGGCTCTCTGTCTAGTAGCTTGTAAAAGCATTCTGAATTTACTACTCTTTTAACCAGCAAAGAAAATAAATCTTTCTTGCCATAAATGCTAATGTTGATGCACTGAGAAATTCAAAGGCAGGCTGCAGAGAGAAACATTCCCCATGCGATGATTAAAGTGCCAGTTCATGAAAGCTGACGTCAGCGCGTGCTTTCAGGGTGGCAGAGCACTTTGCATTTATTCTCTCCTTGTTTGTGCTCCATCTGGATGGGCTCCAGTGGAAAAAAAAAAATAAGAGCGAAAAGGAGAAGCTAATGCCTTTCTAATACGTTTCTAAATTCCTTCAGTTTCACACAGGGAGCAGGCTCTGAAGTACCTAACTTTTGCCTGACCAGTCCAATGAGATAGAAGAAACCGAAGGCAGCTGGTGCTCGTAGCCAGACTAAGTTATAATTAGATTGTCATAGCAAACAGTCAGTTGGGGCAGCTCCAAGGAGGACCAAAGGAGAGCACACTGATAAGCAACATCATCTCAGTATTCGATAATTTGCAAAGGCAACACTGTTTCCCATCAAGTGGATTCATTCCAGCTCACAACTTCTTTCGTATAAAGTCACCGTGGTTCAAAACCCAAAAAAGCTACATGAGTAAGCTACAGGTTTCTGCTAAAAACAATCTGACTGAAGGATGCTCAAGAGCAGTTCCCCAACTCCATGGTATTGTTCACAGGTTAGGCAGGGCGGATACTAGCCTTTCCACTGAAGCAGATCTCCCTTCCCTGGGATGGGGCAGCACAGGGAATGCTGCATGCTCCCCCTTTCCTCATGTCCCCTTCCAGCAGTGGCACTACCAGTTAGGTCAATCAGAGCAGTTTGTTGAAAGTGCAAGCACTCCAGTGGAGATGCTGGCTGCTGGGAGCCAGCCTTATGTGGAAAGGAAAAATACCTTCTGGCATCTTTCTTGTGTAGACTGAAGTATGTGATGAACTGCACTAGCATTTAAAAAAACATCAAGAATTGTGCAGTTTGCAGCTGCTCCACAAGCAAAATTACTTCATTGAAGATATTACTGCTGCCTGTTCCCTCTGTGCTCATTAAGCAGAGGTAACATTAAGCTGGAGTGAATGACAAATGATTAGGTCTGGATCTTAGTCTGACTGCATTCAGTGTCACATTAAATCAAAGTAATCTGTACATCCTGTCTGTCAGTTGTCCATTCTCCCTTTTTTCTTTAATAACATGCTCTTGGTTTCAAATGCCTTCATGGCATTTTTCCTCACTGGACTGCTGTGTAGGCCAGATTGCCTACTGATGCACAAAAGCAGAGAGGCTTAGGAGGAACTTCAATTCTGTATATAAAAATGCATGAAATGGATGTCATCTTAGCCCAGGATTTTGCTTAGGCCCATGGTGGTCTCGTGCAGCACAGAAAACTATATTTTCTGTGTAAAGTGATTTCTTAACATCC